TATATATATATATATTTCGTGTTTTCTTAAACAAAATCAAATGATTAATTTTAGAAATATTTATACTGCATATCCATAATCATGTACATTTCTCGTGCTTATCAGTTTTCTAAATATTTGTGAAAAGTTCAGCTTTTGGGGCATATAGAATAAAATTTTAAATTTTTGTTAAATTATCGGCTCTTTTTTTAACAAATGAAAAATTTAGAGAATCAAAGGTGAAGTAGGGTATCAACCTAAATTCACTAAGCAGAAGTAAACACTACCAGCTTTTAAAAAAAAAATAAAAAAAATCACTAAGCAGAAGGTAGAAAAAACTCAAGAAGTCCTTCATATCTAGAATTCTTGTCTTTTGCATGAGTTGGACCCTAAAAGACACCGCGATATGGTGGGAAATACTTAATCAGTTGGCTTGTCATGGGTGATGCCAAGCACCGGAAAGGAATTGATGTTCAGTTGAAGTTGTGGTAGAAGGAGGAAAAGGCATAGGGCTTGGACAATTGTTCCATTAGCACTTCTCTGAGTTATTTGTAGTGAACGTAATAGGAGAATTTTTGAAGGGATAGAGATGAATTTTGTTAATTTGAGGAGGAGCCTCTTATCCTTGCTTATATTTGGTGAACCTATGATATTCCCTGTTGTATAGAAGATTGGGTGTCTTTCGTAGGCTTACTATTTTTTTGGCATACCACTTGTATAAAGGCGAGTTTCACCCAAGTATAGTGAAATTAGCTTGCCTTATATAAAATGTAAAAAAAAAAAAAAGGACACCGGGATATCATCAAAGAATCCAAATTAAGTTAGTTGTGGATCTTGTTAGTCCTTTGTTGAGCAATATCTTCATTGAATTCGTTTGTGTTAAACCTATTCAAGGAGGATCCATTAACTGCTGAAATGTTCAATTGTAGAGTTGGTGACCTCCCTAGCTACCACCTAAGTAGGTTTTTCATTGGGAGGTTTGTACAAAGACGCACTATGGAGGAACATAATAATTGATAGAGTTAAGACTTGCAAAGATACTAACTAGATTACAAGGGAGATACTTGTCAAAGAGAGGAAGGGGATTCCCATTTATCAAATGTTACTTTTCTGGACACCGACTAATGTGACAAGAAGCTGGAGAGGTTAGAGGAATTTTGTATGGAGCTTAATAGCAGAAAGTTAGGATTCATAATTTGGTTAGTTGGAAATCGTCACTTCCCTAAGAAAATAGAGAGGAACAAAGTATGCATCGAAGGGAGTAGGATTCACATTTCTAGAGTCAAAAATCAATGTTTGCATAATCTGTCTTTCTGGTGTAAAAGCAATCTGTTAGTTAGTATAGACCAATACATGGATTTTCTCAATTGTTAGGAAGGAAAGAGTAATAGCTTGTCTGTTTGGTCTATGCATGAGTCCTGTTTCCTTTTGTACCACCTTGATACCTCTTATTTAAAATCTTACCTTATAAAAAAATGGGACTTGAGTTGAGGTGAAGAGTCTCGGACTGTTCAAGAAGGCATTGTGGGAAAATGGATGTGGAGTCTCGAGACTCAGTAGTGGGCTATGTGGAGGGATGATAGCAAAAAATTGTGGACGAGGTAGGGAGAACGAGGAACATTACATTAGCGCTCCTTCGTGACTTATTGAGAAATATCATGAAGGGAAGAAGAGACTTCAGAAGTAGTAGCATTTTTGAAGGTGGGATGGAAGCAAAATTAGCCTGTTAGATGATACGTGTAGTGGAGAGGTGTGCTCGGGATTTTTTCCGAATATATGCAGGATCTCGAGTCTATGAGAGATGAAAACATAACATATCAGGAGGGCTTCAAGTATGGGAGATATATGAGACTTTGAGGTTTGGGAGAAATTTGCAGGATTGGGAGGTAACTGAATTCTAGAGATTGCTTGAGGTGCTTTGAAACATCATCCTTCACACACTAGCCAGGACTCGTGTAAGATGAGAGATGAGGAAGGATGGATTGTTTTCAATTAAGTCATTCTATCATAGAATTTAAGACTGGTAGATTATTCGCATCAGCTGGTGCTTCATATGCATGTGGGGTGGGGGCGCAAAAGTTTGGACCATCTCATTTTACATTGTAATATGGCAACACAATTGTGTATAGAATATAATCATGAAGGGTGCTGAAATGAAAAACAAATATAAAGAAAGAGCAAACAGGATACATTTTTATTTTGATAAAGTTCATAATAGAAGCTCAAGAGTCCTACATGTTATGAATTCACTATACAGTATCTCAGTAATATTTCACAAAAGCTACCGATCCTTTGTTTCTCTCTTTATATTCCTTTGTAGTAAAAGTCATACAAGGCATCATCGGTATTTTATTGCAGCTAATCAGATGCATCATCTGTATTTGTAGGTTGAGAGAGTTCAGTGGGGACAAGGATCAAATATGAAGTGAAAAAATAATAATAGGGCACGCGTAAAGCGTTTAGAAAGATGAGGATGGCAATTGCTCCCAACAAAACAATGTAAATCCACCACTTGAGAAAAAAGCTCAGAATAGGTATCTTGGATTCACTGAGGTAACTCTTTCACTTCCAAGTTATTTAGATCCACACAAGGAAAATATGTTTTAGCCTTGGAGACTAGTTTTATTTATTTATGAACATCTACTGCTGGTTTTATACAGTTCTCTCTTTCTTTAAAGCCTTATGAAATGTTGGATTAATTGTAATAGTTGAGAATCTCCACAAAGTGGAACTCTCAGCCTTGAAATGTTGTTTTTATGTGTGTTTACTGATTGGATGGCCGTCCTATTAAATTTTTCACATTTCACATATTATGTCATTTTTAGGAGACTGCCAAATTGCAAGCGGGAGAATGAATCAATTAACTTCCTGACTAGTATTTTCGGCGTATGGTAATGAATATGTAGTGTCAACTATCCTTTTCCTTTATGACTTGACTTCTACTATTTATAAAGACAAATGTATGTTATGGTGATTGATAAAGTTGTGTTGTTTCTCAAATCTCATTTGTGCATACTATGCATGCAAAGGTATATGTATGTACTTAATGAACAAAAAATCATCAATACTAACATAGCCAGATCCAAAATTTAAAGTTTATGGGTTCTTACCATTTTCAAAATAAATCGAAAGAGAGAGAGAGAGAGAAAATAAAGGTCGGCATTGTTTTTGTTGAAAATAGAAGGCACTTATAGTGCTCCAGGGGAATTGAACCCTCATCAAAAAGGGCAGTTAAGCTTCTGCTGCTTCGAGCTTTGCTGATGTATCAACTGCTCCTTTTAGTAATGGGTTCCCAACTAACAGTTTCTTATATATTTAACGGATTCTCAATAAAATACTGGGTTTGGACAAAAGTTATTGGGTTTCTGGCAACCCACATAGTAAACACTGCATCCGCCCCTGAATACTGATTGTAGTGGAGCCCCTTCCTTGAATAAGAAATGACTGCTACAACCCTTGTGAATATGTGTTTACTGCTAACTAAAATCAATGTTCATCAATGAGTGCATGCTCAAAGAATACAATGTAAGATGGATGTGCAGTTATACAAGATTAGAAGCGATCACGTTGGCAAGAAGGTTCAAGTTAGACACGTCAATGATAAATTAGAGAAGGTCGCTTGAATTGGTTTGGTCATGACCCATGTCAACCACAAAATGCATAAGTCCATAGATGTGAAACCATGGTGAATAAAGGTGTTAAAAGAGGATGAGTTGTCTCAAAGTATATACAACCTCTTGGGATCCATGCAGATTTAGTGAAACATAAGGTGCAATGGAAGAAAAAGATTTGTATAGGTGATACCTTAGTTGAAAATATGTTTTAATCATGTTGGCAATTTTACTTTACGTCCTATGCTTTTCTAAGTATTTGGCCTCTCAGAAATTTATACGCCAGTAGAAAATACAATGAACTTCTAATAGTTAGTATTATTATTACTTTGAATAATATTGGTTTGTGATGAGTTTATATACCAGCCCAACTTGTTTGAGACTAAGGCACAATTATATTGTTATTGTATTTATTTGTCTATTTGTTAATTTGAGAATTCGTGATTGAAACAACATAATCATCCTAAAGTTTATCAGCATCGCCATGTTATGTGTGAAATCTCTTGAACAACAAAACAACCAAGAATATATATGTTAATTTCAACAGAGTGCCATCAAGATCTATGTTGTCTGGTGCATTTGAGAGGAGAGGAGATGTTACAGACAGCCTTTCCTTGGGTTACATTGTATCGTATCATACATCTGATGCTTAGTTCAAAGTTCAAACTTCCCTGTAGATAGTTATCAGGCAATTATGTTTTTATCGACTAAATCGAAAAACAAATTATTGATTTGCATAATGTTGCTTGGTCATGGTTAACTGATCAAAACATGATATTTTTTTTAGCTTTCTTTCTTGTTTTAATTCTTTTGCCCCATGTGGATGATGTAGACTTGCTATTATGTTTGCTTGTGTAGTACTTGAATCATTTTCTCCTTTGGTTGGTTTGAGTGGGATGGATGGCTTAGTAGGAAGGATATGACATATTTGTTCCTCTTCTATGTAATGACTCTATACTCTAGTTTCTAGTGATATGCACTAATTAAAGTTTGACTTGATGATTAGACATTTTTTTGTTAAGAATATGGTACCTATAAAAAAGCTTGAAAGCAAAGCCTTACATATATTTGATCAAGATTCTGGCTATGCTTAACATCATTTCAACTAGGTAGAACCTAGCCTAAATATTTTAGAGTGTTTCTTTTATGGATTCTTTTGTTGATTAGTATTGTATCTTACATTTACTTTGAAACTTAAAAGAGTACAAGGCTGATTTGGGACCACCATGAAAATACTTTAAAGAACATCTTTTCAAAGCTTTTTTAACCACTTGAACCTCAAAACTCTGATTCTTTTTTCCTTTCACTGAAAGGCCATCCTGATGGAGAGTGACCAGACCACTTTTTCTCCAGAGGATAGGTTTCCCGCCCCGAGCCTGCATTGGAGCTCCGACTAAATCCGAACCACGCACTGCATGTCCCATTTGGGGTGATTTTCTCCATACCCAGGGATCGAACCGGAGATCTCTAGTTGATGGTGGAGCAGTCCCACCATTGCACCACAATCCATGTTGGTCCGAGGATAGATTTTTCATTGAAAATAATAATTTGAAGATCTTTCAAGAGTATTTTTGTGGATTAGAATTTGAATTGAAAGGCACTACATTTATCCATCAGAAAATGACAAGTACTAAAGGGGAAGATTGAGGGGGGCGGGATGAGTTTTCTTTTTCTTTCTTTTTGAGTTCTAAAGTTGAAATGATTAGAAGATTCCTTCCTTTTTCTCAGTCCAAATCAATGCATCATTTTTGCTCAAAGCTTTATATCATCAATGAGTTTTTAGAGGCTGTGTTTTGTGTTTATCATTTCAGTAGTGGGTGAAGCTGTTGGATTAAACTTTTTCTTTATAGAAAAGAAAATTGGAGTGATTTTCTAAGAATTGACCAAGGTTATCTCAACATCACTGAATCTTGAACCATTCATAGAGTAGTGAACAAATTGAATGATAGATATATTGTCAACCTCGAAACAGATTGAAAACAAACATTAAAAGTATCAACTTTTATTTACACTTGTCGAAAATTAAGAGTCCCGCATACGAGGAAATTCAAAGGTGAATTCAGAATCTAGACTCTGTGAACGCAAACATGGTGTAAACTTATTCTATGTATATATTTTCATATATAGATATTGGTCGAGTTGACGTTAAACTACCAGTGTAATTTCATTTGATTGAGATTAAATATATACTAAAAACTACTAAAGCATAAGTAAATGGCTGAATAAGTGATAAAATCAGTACTTTATCACCTTGTCCCACCCAAAAAAATAATCCAATTTCAACCCATTGATTAGATGAATTGATCACAGATGTCATCAAGAAAGAGTGTAGAAATTGGCCCTTCTAATTTTTTGAAAGTATACTTAGTACATGAGAATATTGGGTAGACCAGAGTAAAATACATGATTGGACTTTTAATGTGTTAGCTAGCTAAGTAGTCATGAATCAAAATAATATCAACCAAAGTGTGGTGTGACACTAGTTCTCTTTTCTTTAAAAATCAGTGGCACTTATCTTAATGGATTGATTCTACCACAATACATCACATTTTACCATTTTGTGTCAATTCAATTGATTTAACTTGGTAAGTAATCTCTACCAGCCAATTTCTAGGTTTTATTTTAGACTACTCCTCTCAAAGTTCCTTACTTGCTTAACTTGGAAAGTGTTGTAAACTTTCCTCTCAAATTATTGCTATCAAAATGAAATACAAAATAGAAAAGGGAAATTTGTGAAGAGTATAGATGATCTATTCAAGTATGCCATCGAACTTTGAGAAAATGTTCATCTATATCATCCGTTAAAAGTTTAGCTTATCTATGTTATTTCCGTTTGAGAAAAAAGTTCATTTGTTAATCGAAAACAATTCTGATTTTGCAAAATAATTTTTTATACGTAGTCAATTATGATTCAGCCACATTATTAATTAAATCAATTTTTTTTAAAAAGGAAAAGACTCAAATATGTTATCGAACTTTGAAAAAAGGCTCATCTATGTCATCCGTAAGAATTTTGTTCAACTATGTCATTTCAGTTAACAAATAATGACATGAATGAGCCATTTTCTAAAACGGAAATGGCATAGATGAGTCAAAACTTTTAACACATGATATATATGAGTCTTTTCTTAAAGCTCGATGGCATATTTGAGTCTTTTTCTTTTAATAAATCTCGAGCAAACCTTCCTTCGTCAGCTAGTTTTCACGGTTGATTTAGACTCAAAATTCATTTCCTTACATGATATCATAGCAAGACTCGTCTAAATTATTGCTTACCAACGGTGAACCTCCATATTAAATTGTCCACACATCAGATATCCAATTCTGAGCGTGAGAAGACTCCCACACCCCCACACCCCACCCTCACCACACCCCACCAACCGCCATGTTCGGTAGAAAAGAAGCTCTCCTCCGGGTTATGCTCGTTTAAATTTGGAATCTTATTAACGATCATCAATCAGATCTTAAAATTAGTACTACTTAGTGTCTTGTAGATAGTCCAAAAACAAAACAAAAAAATGCAAATGGGAATTACAAATTGTGCTTTCAAGTTTGACCACTTTTTCCTAAATTCTGCACCTAGGAAGTGGCTATAGTTTAAGTGCAAATACTACCTTAACATTGTCAGAATCACACTCACAAGTGAAGAAAAAAAAAGGTACTCCAGCAAACTTTAAAAAGTGTTAAATTAGGTCATGCATAGAAATTATAACAAAATAGGGCTTCTAGATCAATTAACTTTGTTGACATAATTGACCACTTTCTTTCCACAACTAATCATTTTAAGACACCACAAGTATTCATGTATTCGGACGTAAACATGTTTTCTAGTCTTAGAAATCATTAGGGGAAACTAAATAAAATAAATTAAAAGTAGATAGATAAAAACATACAAAGAAACAAAAACAAAAAACACACATAGACACACATAATATTAATGCTTACCTTATGAGTTGGCCTTTTGTCTTCTCATTCTTTATCATGTGATGTTTGTTAATATCTTGGTTAGAGCCTTTTGCTTGTCAAACCTACTCATGTGACTAGAATATGAGTGAATAACCCCACACAAATCTAAACAAAGTTAAAGATTTTGAGTTTATGATTTCTGAATTCTAAATTCTACGGTAATTTACTAGATTTTGAATATATTATTTATCTATATTAAGTTATTTTTAAGCACATAGAATTTAGACCAAAGCTACTAATTTTGTCGAAAGATACACAAATCTAAACAAAGTTAAGATTTTGAGTTTATGATTTCTGAATTCTAAATTCTATAGTAATTTACTGGATTTTGAATATATTAAGTTAGTTTTAAGCACATAGAATTTAGACCAAAGCTACTGAATTTGTCGAACAGATAGACAAAATTGTTGCTTCGTCTCTACA